TCTGGAGATAAAGCGATAAAAAATCACAATGCTGAAATACTTCCTGTTGCTCATTCTAGCAACCTACATATTTTCTACAACGAATTCTGAAATCTCTGAACCGTGTGTGAACAGTGGGAACAGAACAGTTTGTTATTGTACCAGGAATAAAACTTATGTGAATTGTTCTTCACAAGGATTAAAAAAAATCCCACAAATTAAATTCAAATATAAAGTACTAGACTTCAGTAATAATGCACTTAGACACTTAAACAGTTTTATGTTCAGTTCTGTTCATACAAAAGGTGTCTACGAATTAAACTTTTCCGAAAACGAAATCAGCTATATTGAAGAAAACTCTCTATCAGTGTTTAAAAACTTGACATTTTTGGATTTGAGCTCAAACCCAATTAATAATTCGGTATTGAGGAACGGATTGTGGAATATATCGAAGTCTCTTCATCAAATAGGTCTGTCGAATTTGAGTCTTCAACGTTTTGAAGCGGGTTTATTCAAACCATTAAAACACACCATATTACAGAAATTAAGCTTACGCTATAACAATTTCAAAATGGTCTTCATGGACAAAATGTTTACGCATTTACCACATTTGAAAGAACTAAATTTTTCGAATAATCATATCGAGTATATGACATTATCGCCCTCTACAACTTTGACCACATTCAGATTATCAGGAAACCACTTAACTAAGTTTCCCAAGTTTTGTGAACAAAGTAAAGCTTTATTTCCAAATCTACAGAAACTTTATATCGACAGAAATTGCATATACAAAATTGCTAGTAGCAGAATAGATTGCCTCAAGAAACTCAAATACCTGAATATATCTGAATTGCACATGGAGATTATACCAAATAATCTGTTTAGCAAATTAACTTCACTGAGAAGATTGTATATTGAACATAGTGATAGTCTGAAGAGTATACACCCTTTAGCTTTCAACAGTTCTAGTTTGGACACTCTCTTCATTCGCAGCAACAAATTATTTTTTTATGAACCTTATGTTAACCCACGGTCAATTTTAGCCAACACTCCGAATTTAAAATACTTGGACATTTCTGACAATATTTTGGGCAAGATGTCTGAACGTGATTGGACAGAAATGCTAAAATGTGTGCCGAAGTTATTGTTCTTGGGTATTAGCATGGGAGAGATCGAAAAGCTCCCAGAAGTCGTTCCCGGGTATCTACACAATCTGAATGATTTTAGAGCTGAATACAATGGAATTACCAAAATCCCAGCGAATTATTTGTCACCATTGAAGAAACTGCTACAGCTCTATCTAAACGACAACAAACTATCAAAAATCAACGAGGGCGACCTTCCTAAATCTTTAGAAATCATCAATTTAGCCTTTAACCCGTTTGTTTGTGACTGTAGATTACTTTGGTTTAAGAACTTCATTGAGAAAAATCCCCAAATTTTCCCCTACTATCCGCGACTGTATTTATGTGAAAATGAGAAGCCACTCGCTGATTTTAGAATCACAATTAAATCTTGCCTCTTTAGCCAGAAAATTAACAACATTATTATGAGTACTTCCTTAGGTTTGGTGTGTTTAGTATTGGGATTTTCTGTCGTTTACCACTACAGATGGCGTTTGCGGTATTTTGTTCACGTTTTGAATCTCCACAGAAGGAAATATTTCAGTTCAAACGGTCAGAGATTTCTATATGATATATATGTAGTCTGTGCTAATATCAGCTGTGAAGAAGTATATATTAGAGAAAACTTGGTTACAATATTGGAAAACGATGGTAAAACAGTTTTCTTTCCTCGACGTGACGCATCACCAAATAAACCAACTGTGACACAAACATTAGAACAAATGGATAGAAGTAAATGTATTCTAATCTGTATTTCTGATGCCTTTTCTTCAGACCAACTCTGTGAATTTCAAGTTAACATGGCATTAGAACGTTCAATACACGATAGAGACTGTACAGTTATTGTTGTTATTTTAGAAGAACTTTCTCCTGATAATGTCAATAAAACAATCAATCATTTATTAAGGACACATCAAAATTATCTTCTTTGGGATGAAGAAGTAGAGGCAAATGCGTTATTTTGGAGAAAATTTAATGAATATATTTGAATAAAGTTATTTCTCAATATTGTTTATAACAGGTATAAAAATGAGCAGAATTTCTCCAACTGGCGATTGATATCATGAAATTGTCGCCTTCATGTGTCCAAATCGACTATTCAATTTGGTGTGGGAGTATTCAAAGCCTCTGAATGCTTTACCTTTCATACCTTCCCTGGATAACTCTTTAAAATACACCATTTACACACATTTTTACTAGTGATAAGACGTACGGGGGGCCGAGCAGGGGCCACAATTTTCGAGGGGGCCACAGACCTTTTTCTCATTATGGATGAAAAAACAAAATTGAAAGTGGAGGGGGAGGGGGGTTGGTTTAAGCATCTTTTCTGGGGGGATACAGTGTAGGCGAAATCAGATGCAAGATCTAGAAGCCGCCGTCTCAGTCGACCCAATCATGGTTTACCAACTTGCCGCCGAGGTGGAAGAGCAGCTCAATGTTTTCAAGACGTCGACTTTTGCTATTAATATCAAAGTATGAAACTTGTTCTTAGTGTCAAACAGATCAAATTATACACCAGTTTTATCAATCACTGCACGTGCAAATTAGGTGAAGTTGACTTGAGATGCAGACATATTCCTCCAACACAGTATTTACCTTCCTTAATTTCATTTCAAGTTATAGTCACAGAAGTCATAGTTATCTGAACGACTTGCTTACAGGTCTATGGTAATCTGGATTCCGTCCCAAGGAACATAATTACCTTACAGACGACAGGCTGGAGACCGGTCATCCCAAAGGACAGAGGAAAACACGAAACCCAAGATAAAGATAACATAGGTAACATACGCCCACTACCAGCTGTCAGAAATGGTAACAAAGTCTGTAGTGGCTTAATAGTCAATTTTCAAATCATCTTAAAAATATTTATAAGTCAAGGCGAAACCTCAAAAACAAATTATTAAATTATTATCAAATTAAAACATGAACAAGGGTCTGATCGATGTAGACAATAACGCTGAAACAGTTCATGTGCTTATGACCAATTTCGAACTTGACTGAGATCTCATCAGTATCTAAATGCATACCAAGTTCCATCAAGATCGGATAAAAACTGTAGTCTATATCGTGTCTACAACCGAATTTTGACATGTTTGATTTTTGACAAGTCTAAAATCGTTCATGCAATTATAACAAATTTAGAACTTGACCGAAATCTCATTAATATTTACATACGTACAAAATTTCATCAAGATCAGATAAAAAATTGTAGCCTTTATCGTGCATACAAGCCAAATTTAACACTTTTTACTAAGTCAAGGGCAACAACTCTGAAACCGTTCATCCTATTATTACCAATTTTGAACTTAACCGAGATCTCATATACCGAGTTTCATCAATATCAGATAATAGCTGTAGCCTTTATCATGTAAACAAGAAATGTGGACGGACGAACGGACAAACCGATGGATGGGACGGACAGACATGGGCGACGGCAATAAACGTCCACATTTCCATTTGGGCGTATAAAAATAGAACCAAATCCAAGGTGATTGGCTTGTGTAATGAAGTATTAAACTATTTTAATATTCAAAAGCGGATAATTCTGGACCCACATAGATTTGAAGGCTCATATGTCGACGGTGAACTGTGAATTACTGTTACTGTTTGCTAAAATTGCACGTTTCTTAGACTAAAGTATGATTGGTCAAAAAGAATGGCACACTTGTTCCTTTAATATAAAAATTATGTGGTCTGAATATCAATCAAACAGATTTATCACACTCTGAATATCAATCAAACAGATTTATCACACTTCCTTTAACAATTTCTTCCTGTATCTTGGATTTCCGTCATGTAACTTTACACTATGATTTCTTCTTTAAGATGGATGTTAGTTTAAAGGAGTATTTTAACATTAACAAATGATTTAACATTAACAAATGATTTATATTGCTAAAACCATTATTTTGTATGATTTCAAGTATGAAAAGGTATGAGATCACTTAAGGTTTGAAATGGTAAGCAACGCTTGAACAAGAAGCGTCTCAGATGCTATAAATATACCCGGACACAAACTGAAGTGAGTCATTTTGTGCATTACTCATATTCGACTCCAATAGGGTTTAAATACAACAAGTATGTATGTATTTAGTTAGCACAGTGGACTACATCGCTTAATACAGGTACAGTTTATATTATATTTCTTTTGTCTTAAAGCGTAAATAAAATATACATAAAATGAATGTATGTACATTTACATAATGGATTTATAAACATAACATGAACGTATATACACATGAAATAAATAAATAAGTAGATGTATATACATAACATGAATGTAAATAT